ATGCGTGGATGGACCGATAACAGAAGCATCCTTTAAACTGAACTAGTGTTCATATTGGACTGGTGGGCTAAGGTGACATGCCCTCTACTTATTATTTATTTAGCTGGAACTGGGTCACTTTAATTTGCTGTAAAGTGTAGTGAGTGTGGACAGGTCAGCTGCATGCACCAGCTGGGCCTCGTATTGAATATCTTCCCTTGTATTGTAGAAGATTCCACTGGCGTTCCTGAGTTCCAATTATGTAACAGGAAGATACGCACTTCTGAATCATCATCATCTCACTTGGCTTTCTTTGAGGCTAAACTTTGACTCTCCTCTCATCCCATTCCTTCCAGAAGAACAGAAGTGAAGTGTATGCTGCTATTGTGCTGAATATTTAGTTTAGGCAAGTCAGGGGATGGGCAAAGTGTGCTTTTCCATTGTCAAAATCAGACGGGCCATGAAGCACAATCCCCGTCAAGGCTACTGCAGGACTATAATGGGCATCAACAGAGCTCCCACGTTTCAGTATTGGATGGTATCTTAGAGCTAAACTAGTCCAAATCCCTCCTTTTCCTGATGATGAAACCAAAAATCAGAAATGTTAAATTCTTTGCCAAGGTTATACAGTTGGTAAGTGACAAAACCAAGACTGCTGGACTTTTTTGGGGGGTTCACTTTTGAGTATTCTTTCATTATAAAGATGCCAATGCATACTATGTCTGATATGCAAATGAATATGTCAAAAGTAAAACAATTTCAGGAAACTCTTTAATGCTGGATATTTAATATTAGGTAAAAGAGGGAGGTGTGTGTTGACTTCAAAGAATGTCACAAATTACTAGGCAGGAGAAGCCTATCGGTGCACCTAGGAAAACAAATTCTTCCCTTTGTTGTTTAGGGAACTGACTGGCATTGTCCCCAAGGAACTTATGTACTAGACTATAAGGAGACCCAACAAATACTGAGGAAAAAAATCCTTTCTATTTCAAGCTGCAGCTCCAATATCCAAACAAATGCCTACTATATAATGTGAATGTGAATGTCTATGTATGTGTATTTTGTGTATCCGTGTACCTGATTTGTGTGTATTTGTATGTGTGTGTCTGTATTCATGTGCGTTTGCACAATGCATGCATGTCTCTGTACCTGTGTATACATGTGTTCTACATGTGTGTTTGTGCATGTGTGTTCACTCAGGCCTCAGGCACAGCAAGCAAGTGCACCCTTCATGCTGGAGAGCCTGTTGGGCTGATTTTTTTCCCTGGCACTGCCCCTTAACAGTTTTCCTTCTTGAGCAAGTAGTTACATCGTTTTTCTGAATCTCAGTGTTCTTATCTATAAAATGAAAGAAAGAAGTTAACCAGTGTGTTTTTAGTCCCATAGCCATTTCAGTGATTAAATTGAATTAACTGCATTTGCACAAAATTTGGTAATATTTTATTATAGGTTCTATAATAGATTTGCCTCCCAAACAGCCAACTTTGGTATTTCCATGTACAGATGGCCTTTGTGAAAATGCACACTGTTTAAATTAATCCTTATGGCAGCTCCATGAATGAAGCACAGTTATCTCTACCTTACATACGAGCAAACTGAGATCTTGAGTTGTAGTAATCTTCCTGGAGTCGCCCAGGGAGGTTTTGGAGGACAGGAACACAAACCTACATCTGTCTCTAAAGCCAGCCTTGCAGTCATTCTCTCCTTTGCCTCACCTCTGCCCAAAGCTGTTGTGAAGAACAATACGGTGGTCGTGGAACTGGCATCGGCATCCTGGTTCCCTTTATCCAGCTAATGTTTGCCCTTTTCTCTGACACACCTATTTCCCTTGATATCTCAGCTGGCACACAATTTTTTAAAGTCAACCCACCATTCTGCCCTGGTAGAAGGAGAGAGATTTGGGAACAATTCAAACTGGACAGTGAATGCAGGCTTCGTGGAGAAGGGCATATTGCTGGCACATCTTAACAGCACCTCATGGTACGGGACTTGCCTTGCAAGCCTTTGACAGCCATTGAACTGCAGAACCCACTGCTCCTAGTGTTCAACCCAGGAAGAAACAGAAGGGGAACTGCCAGGATGTAACTGCTTAATCCCTTCCTAATCTCTGGATTCTCATAAATCCTTTAACTCTTCAACTATGGAATTATAAGAACTGGGTTTGCAGAATCATTATGGTCATAGGAGGCCCAAGTACTGAGCTATGAAATTTGGAAAAAGCAGAGGGCCAAGAAGATTGCCACAGGGTTGACTTTGAAACCAGTTTGAATACAATTACTGAGAAAGAAAAGCAAACCCCTATTTACAAAATTATTATTTTTGTTTAGTGAGATATATTGAATCAATTTTGTACAGAAAATTGCAAAGGAACCTCTCAGAGCCCTTTAAAAGCAATTTAATATTTGTAATAAGGCAAATATTTCTGACTCTCAACTATTTAGCCATGAAATTTTAAAATCCAATGAAAGTCTGACTTCAATAAATGCTGCTTTACAAATTTTATTGCCTATGTAATAGCCTAAAAATACTGACATTCTTTAGACACTTAAATTTAATCATAATGACAAATAATGAACTTTTAAAACTGCCCTTCATGTAACTGAGTATAATTTGGTGCTTTTAAAACATGGGTTTGTTTTTCTGGTATGTCGTCTCTCAAAATTGTAAATAAGGTCGATTTACCCGGCAGCCTGAGAATTTCTAAGCAATTGTGCCTTATTTCCAAGCAGTCTTTTAGAAACATAAAGCACAATATATTGTATGACAAGAAGACTTGAGAGGCTTCGCATCTCAGTTATTAACAATTCTTCAAAAGATCTAGGCAGGAGTTAGTGCCATCGTGAAATGATGACACCATGGCCGCAGGTAATGTGATGTGGCCAGTCTCTCTGTGAGAGTAGGGAGCAGTTTTCCTCATTTTGGAATTTCCTTCTTTCTAAAGGGCAGTAGATAGCACACTGGACTAGTCTTCATTAGATATAGGATCTGAGCTATGTTCTAAGGACATGTTGCCTGTCTCAGACTCAGATTCTTCCTCAGTAAGATAATGATAATTATAGCGTTAAAAGGATTTCATGAAACACAACATATGAAAGTGTTTGCAAGTCGAAATCTACCTCTTTGAAGTAAGGCAGCATTAACATCTTTATAGTTGTTTCTCTGTATACCTATTCTCACCAGAATCACATACATGACACTGGCCTTGTTGGCAGCATAATCCCACTCACTGTTTAAAGCTTCCCTTTTCTATTGCCGTAGACTGGTCATAAAATGTTTCCTTGTTCTTGAGAGTCACAGAACTCTGTGAATGAACCAGAGTAAACCACTCCACTGCTAGAAAAGCAAATTTGGCCTAATATGTCTATTGATGGGGTCATCTCAGCCATCTCTCTGAAATTGCAGACCCTATGCGTATTTCCTGTTCCCCTCCACAGCTCTGCTTTCCTCCATGACAAACTTATCATCATAAATACACTTTATTTTAATGTATCTATCTGATTTACTGTATCCTCCAGTAGACTGTAAGCTCCACTTGGGCGGGGGTATTTGTTTCATTGGCTGTCATGTACCTTGCACCAAGAACAATAGTTGACATAGAAAAACGAAGGAATGATGACCAGCTTATGGTTGTTATACAGACGCTCATATACCTGCAGCTAAGAAAACCTAGAAATTATTAGAAATGGTTCACTATAAGGCTTAGGATGCTTTTAATGTTTCAATTCTAACATGTCAAGGCCCATAAAAGAGTTTATTTTTAATATTTTCTACTATTGGCTTCGTCAGCAGTTTCTTATTCTAGCGATTTTTGTCTGCTTAGTTCTGTGAAGAGGGAGTATAGTTCATGCCTCACATATTAATCTTAGATTTATAGAAAAACAGAAATAAAAGGGAGTTTACCCCTCCTTCTATTAGAGCTTATATGCAAATTCCAAATCCACTCTCCTGAGCAGTTACCCACGATTTAATATTCATAAATTCCCACTGTATACTCAGTTGCAAGAAACCAAAGCAAGATTATAAACAGCACTAATAACAAACAGGCATAAAACTTTTACTACCCTCTGTTCCCACAGCACTTGGGAGATGTGTCAAATTACCCTGTGGAAGACTGGAAAGAGGGAGTTGGGGTAGAAATCATGGCCCATATGATAGTGATGCAGTTTCCAAATTTTACAGCTTGGGAATCACTACGTATTTAGGAAACTCTACCTTTGTTAATTAGTTGCAACTGCAGAAGATGAGCCTGCAGGGATCTTTAAAGAGAGCCAGTGTAGATGGAGCAGAAGAACAGGGAAAAAAAAAATCTGAAGACAGCATTGCTTTCATGAATCTTTAAGAGGGACTTTCCTCTATTGTTATACAATCACACAAATAATGGACAGGGTTTGACAATACAGGAAGAGGACACTTCTCTCTGTATTTAATTCCCTCAGGTTTCTGACTACTTGAGTTTGAAAAACACATCATTTTGTAGGATCTTCCTAAATAAAACTCTGTACTTTGCTTGTGCAAAAAGAAACAGAATGTAATTCTATTTCTATTTCTAGAGCCAGTGCAAACATGTATTTGTTAAATGTTGTTGAAGAGAGTGTAAAATGATGCAGATGGTCGTGGTCAAGTGTCTTAATGTCTTCCCCTTCCACCTAGGATTTTGCTGCTTTCTTCTTGATCTTCACTTGGCCACCTTTGCGCTGCTTACAGGAAATTTTCCAGACAAAGCCTAGTGATTGGCTATTCATGAATTAGAGACACAAAACGCTTTAAATTTATCTTGTCTATTTCCAGAGAGAAAGATGCAATATAGATGGAGAAAAATGTCATGTTTGAAGACATTTGCTTCATCTAGATAGTCAATTTAGTCTTTAAAATGTGCATACATGTAACAAATACACTTATTTCTCTCTTAATTTTGCCATGGAAGCCCTTTGGTGCTTTGCCATAGACCAAGTAGTCACAGTAGGAAAACTCAGCTCAGACTGGTCAGTTGTAATTTATAATATGCAGAGAAAGGCACTCACCAGCACTGACAGTGATAGCTTCAATGAACTGTTCTCTCCAGCTGTTTGTCCCAACCACAAGGGCCAGGTTTGTCTTCTTAATGAGTTTGTCCACGGTACTCTAGAAAGGTTGAAAAGAATAATATAATAAATGCTGGGTTTGTTAAGGCCTCAGGAAATCTAAGACCTTGTTGATTTTGAAACTCCAGAGTTATATAAAGGGTAGCAGATGTTAGGCTCAGAACAACAGTATTGACATCAAACACTGTTATGATTATGCAAACAAGCATGGTCTTTAGTTGGAAACATTCTGAAATGGAAACTTCTTTGTAGCAAATACAAGTCTCCTTCACTGACTAATGAAGAATAGCCTCAGTGTTTAGAATAGCAGAGGCTGCAAAAGCCCATCCATCCCCCCAAATGCTTTACCAACTTGCTTCTCTACTGGTTTCATCAGTAGTGTTTCATCTGCAATTGAATTAATATATGCTCTATTCAGCACTACATATCTGCGAATAGCCGGCGAAGTGACAAACACATTATGAAACCAAGAAATATCACTATTGTTTTTTGTTTATCAATGAAATGTAGCCAGATAATGGAGTCTCCAGGTTGCCTGCTGCATGGTCATTAATAAATGGATTTTTCTCTGGGTACTATTTTGTCAGCCTCTTGCCTGTTAGAGAATCCCATGTTTACCCTATTCCTATTGCAAACAAGAATAGACAAAAAGACAAGAAGAAAAGATCAGTTCTTATGGTTTAGGGCACATTGCAGTTTACCTTGCCCTAAATCTACCCTGCTTTACTGGCACTGTGCTGCATACCCCTTATTTTTCTTTGGAACTTTTTAAGCACCTTGTTTTGTACAATCAGCACTCTCTAGCTTTCTAAATTCAGTTGATGTAACAACAGGAGCAGCCAAACGTTCACTAGAAAACTAAGTAAGCAGATGCACTGAAAGCACTACCACAGTCATGGCAACTACAGGGAGAAGGGTCATTTCCAAGACACTAAGGCTGTTCTTCCCAAGAAACTACCACAGTGACTAGTCTACCAAACACCCACACTTACTGTCAGAGCATCCTCGAATTTCCACTAATTGCAAAGAGGCAGAAAACACATTATTTGCCATAGGTCAAAATCTGTATGTGTTTTATGCAATGTACCTGAGTTGACTGTGGTTTAAGAGAGCACATTTTCAGTTAACTGGGAGTAAGCAAAATGCTATCCAAAGGGCTTGTATTAAGGCCAAAGCCAAATCATAATATCAAGTATGTTTGCTCAATAAGAGTCATTGGAACAGACTTGAAACATTGAGACGATAATAAGCATGAAAGGGCCCATCTCCAGCTGGCTCACTCTGTATTCATGACATTATTCTTGGCTGAATTGTGTGTCCTTAGGGTGATGAGCTTTCGGCTTCTAGCTTTGTGTCTAGAACTGCTGGTGCCCCTGATAACAGCTGTAACCATCACTGCTTTTGGCCACCATAACTTGAAGCACATAATCAGCATCCGTCTTTCCTCTCTCAACTCAGCCACATCTCATCAAGTACTCTGACCATCCTCATTGATACAAATTTAAAGTGCCTTGTAGAATGTAGTAAATGACCTCCATTTTTCCTTATGTAATGGAAACTTGGGACAGTTCTCTCCAAAGAGGCACTCTTGGTGCTGAATCCATGACGGAGTATCCCATCACCTGGGAAACACACAATTGAACAGATAAACTTCTCTAACATTGAACACAGACTTTCCGCAAGAAATAGCTGCTAAAGAACAACTTTTTAAGATAAACTAAACTTCTATGTGTAAAACCCAGGGTAGATTTTAAACTGTAGTTCATGTTAACCCTGGGGGATTATAGTATAGCCAGGGTTCTTCCTAGGACTTAATTTGTGTATGTATCCTTCCTTGACCTATGGGAAAAATGGGAGTGAATAAAGATATAGTTCAGACACCTGAACTTGGACACTATTGTCTGTATTTACCTAGGAGGTTCCTGAATGCTAGTGACCAGTTTTTCACTGCACTAGATTTTCAAAGGCTTGTGAAAACCTCACCCTCAGCCATGGGTGTTACTAAAACCAGGTCCTCAGTCACACCATCGTAAACAAGAACTCAGTGGGTAAAGAAGAGTGGGCCATTGTAAGGTATCACCCAGATTTGGGTCTCTAGCACAGTTCTGGGAGCTCTGAGTAAGTTCTTTAAAATACCTATGTTCTAGTAAAAGAAATTTCTTAAATAATATAAAATCAAAGCTGATACTTAAGGGCAGTTCTAAAACATGCCGCTAACATGCCGTATAGGTATTAATGGTAACTACACTGATGAACTTTGAAGAGATGACAGGAAATAGTCTATGGAAGCTATCCTACAAGTATAAGTACCCCAAGCAACTGGTTTCATGTAGAGACTCGGGGGACTTTCAAATGGTCAGATCATTGTAGTGGTTACCAGAAAGGACTTTGGACCCAAAAAAGCTTTGCTGCCTGGAAGACTGTGCCCTGCCTTATTTAACTTAATGCTTCTTATAGGAAGTCACTATGATTGCTCTTCCTGTCATGGGTGCATGGAAGGGGAAGGTTGGGGATTATCCCATAAGGGAGAGAACACACAATTCCCCAGGATAACCCAGGCAAAGGGCAGGGGCAAGCTTGCTTCAGGAATACCAACCCCTAGAATCTCTACTGCAGAAAATGGCACCAGGCTCTCTGATTCCAAATGAAAAGAAGGTGAATGAGGAAGAGTGAGGTTGAACACACGGAGAAAAGATGAGTAGATGGATCACCAGAAATGGACAGTCAGATTCCCGGACTTCTGGAATTGCAGGGAACTTGTGCACATTCCAGGCATGGTTGTGCACCAAGCCAAGTTCTGTGTCATACGGTGGGGGTCTAATGATTGGGATCTGCCTAGAAAGCATTGGTTCCAGTGTTTACCCCCCGACCCCCTCCTCCGATGGAAATGTGTGAAAGAAGAGTTAACAGATAGATTCTCAGTGGCCTAAAGTTTAATTGCATTTTTATCTTAAAATATTCCACTTTAATTTCAAAGACATTTTGTTTTCCACCTGTCTCCTATCAGGCACCTCCGTTTGTGAACTAAATTAAAAAATAATTAATGGATCCAGCTAAAGGAAAAGAGGGGACTATTATGAGAAGTCCAGATAAAATCTGAAACTTCTAAATTGGTGGTCTGATTCTCTCTTTTGAAACCTTCATTCTGGTGTTTCAAACAGGAACAGTGTCTGCTTTTGAAAAGTAAGCAGGTAAAATACTGCTGTGCTCTGGGTTTGTAATTCTGGAAAGCAAGAGAGGGGATGCACCTTTCATATCCCACTGCAGAACTAAGGTGTTTCTCCCGCTATGGTCTTCCCAGATGCTAGAACCATGTAGGGGAGAAGTGATGGGAGGGGACACAGGGACAGAGGGAGCAGCTAAGGATCAACAGGAAATTTCACTTCAAAGTCTTAAGCTCCATCTCGAGACCCACACATTCAACTTCTGCAAAAATGACTTTTATCATCTAGAGAACTGGGAATCCAATTTCATCAGCTCAACTGTAAACTCTGGTTGCAGGCACTATACCTTCGGTATATTGACTGTACTAAATGTGCTTGGATCTGAAGAGGATGATTACATATAAATGAGAGCTTGTCAATGGGATGTTCCATAGGGAGACATTACTATTCCCCATCCAAAACAAACCCCCCTCCCCTAATTTTCAGCAGTGTGAATGCCTTGCTCTGACAGATTTATTAGCATTTTGAAATAGAAGTTGGTTTCTTCCACACATAACAATCTCTTAGGATCCACCTTTGCATCTTCCTTGCTATCCCCTCAGATTAAACCTTCCCTTTGGGGCACCTCTGATCTTGTGCAGTCATGGATGCCTCCTGCTGGGCCCTGGTTCTGATGCTGTTTGGTTTACAGGACTCCTTGGTTCCTGACTAACTCTATAATTCCAATTTGGCTCCAAAGGCTCTCAATTCATGAGCCTGTTCCTGAAATTACATCTACCATTCTTTCCAGATGGACCTTATAGCTTCGGCCAACACCATGAACAGTTTCTGTCCCAAGATGAGCCTGGCTCCTGGTGGGCAGTGTTGGTGAACACACCTTGAATTCATAGGATTCTTCAATGATCACTTCCAACTTGGTGTGCTCTCCCAGGATGGGGCGTCCCATTTCTGCAATGCGTCTCTCCTCTTCCTCTTTGCTGGTCAGTGGCTGCTTGTCATCATATTCATCTGTGAAACGGGAGTATCAGAGAGTAAGCACTGTGTTCTATTTCATTTGAAAATCCCTGGATCCTGCCATAGGAAAGCCAAGGGGGAAGGAAGCCCTAATGACCTATTAAAGCGCCCTGGGTGAGGTCATGATGCTGGAGGGAAGAGCCGGACAGACACTTGGCATGTAAGGCAGCATATCACTGTGACAGCAAGTGATTATAATAATGTCTCACAATCTAAGCTCATGCAAAAGTGCAATTGAGGAAAAGTAATGTATGGGGTATGTCACTGAGAAAAGACTCTGCCTGTATGTTGTCTATGTTAAGGGAGTCACCCAGCTGTTCCCTGTGACGCTGGCTCAGCTGGCTGTTTGTACACATTCTTTCAGGATGTGACCACAAGGAAACACAATTGAAAGTGCTAGAGTGACCCTGAGAGATGGTGGAGTCTGGCCTCTTCCTCTCTACTTTCTAGGGACAATGGAAAATGCCTGAGGTCCAAAGAGATGGGGAATAGGAAATTCTGACTTTAGCCTCCCTCTTGCCAAGAGACCCTGTTGCAAGTTAAACAGCAAAACATCCATTCCATGTTTCTGTGGGATGGTTGGGCTCCAGTGCTGCTTCTATCTGGTGCAAAGCCAAAATTTGTTAGGAAAACCTTGTCCATGTTAATCTTAAAGTAAACAGGGAGGGTGAGGGTGAGGCCTTTCGGGAGTTAAAATACTCACTGACCATGTGAGCATAATTATTTCCAGAACCACCATGTAGCTTACAGTCCAGGAGAGGATAGTGGGTGCTGAGAAAATGTTAATGGTTCCAGGAGCCCATTAATGAGGGGAAGCTCACAGTTGGCTCTCTCTGTGTGAAGGTCATTAGGATAAATCCCAGACTGAAAAGGCCATGCACATAAGAAGGACAAACACTGGTCCTATAATTACCCTTATCCTTTAGGCCTAGAATGCTGAAACTAGACAAGCTACTACTTCTTAGATTTAAGTGGAAGGAACATTGTCTCCAATGAAACAGTGTCAGTGATATGGAAAGACCTCAGCCCTGATGGCCTCATTTCTAGGACCTCTGGACAAAGTGTCTCCAACAGGGGGCTGTTGACTGAAGAGACATCCAATAAAAGGGATGTTTGGTCCTGGCTTCCTGCCTGGTGCACTCAAACATTAGCTTCTGTAGAAGTCCATACCTCCCATTACCTCCAAAGACCCATGGCCTCGGACCGTGCTATGGTGGCTCCATTATTGCTTTAGCAACTGGTGCAGGGAATGGTTCCTCCTAGGCTAGCTGCTCACTGAGGGCAGGGAGCGAATGGGCTAGAGGCACTGCCAGCATTTACTATTTCAAAGGTCAAAACCAAAAGGCAAAAGCGGAATGTAGCATATTGATTAATTCTTTAGTATATATTTTATAGTGTCTTCCTAAAAGCCCATTTTAAAATCTGCTTTCCTAGCCTCAGCGATTACAGGACACCAAAGAAATTAGACAAAGACTAAAAATAAATGATTTTGGATGGCCAGAAGCTGCTGAATGTTAGCAGAGGCAAAGGAGAGGGACAAGGATAAAAGTGGTAATATTTTTTTATAGTAGGATTGGGAAGTTACGACCCAAGGGAGGGCAAAGGGTTCTGGTTCTCCAAGATTTGTCCTTGCAAAATTATGTGTGTCTAGTCAAGAGAGTTGACTGAGATACATGAAGTGCAATTTACCCAGCACTGAAATATTAATAATTTTGATTACCACTGCTTTCTGATCCTTGAACCCAGGATAATGTTATTGGTAGTTTTCGTAGCAGTAGTTTATGCTAGCATCTTTGTTCGAACCTTTGACTGAACATGGATGAGTTGAAGACTTACACAGAACAAGAATGGTTTTCTCAGAAGGAATATTACAACTTGGACATCTATTTAAACTGAAGCTATTGGGGGAGAATATTTATTACAGCCTTCTTTTTGTAGTTTACTTATAAATGACAAGTTGCTTTTAATGGGACTCAAGGCAATCTGCATAGAAAAAAATAGAGAAATTACAAAACAAAGGTGATATGGTAGCATTGTTAAGTGTGGCATTTCTCAAAACTGAATTGGTTTTGATCGTGGTATTAAATAACTGGACGTGGATTAAGTAAATGAAGTCAAATCATACAGTGAGTGAAAAGGTTCTTTCTTTTCCAAAAATCCTTCAGTCCTTCTGATCAGGAAGAAATGCTTAATTTGGTGCTCTTATGTCTGTAACTAGTTTCTAATATCTGGACTTGTACCTTTTAAGATAGATAGTCACAATAGTTCTCAGGTATAGAGCATTTGCCATTATCTAGCTACAATTTAATAACTTTTGTTCCATTGTAAATTTTTTTTTAATTTTACTTTCTATTTGTGGCAAATGATACTAGTTTTCCTGTGTTAGTGAATTAAAGTTTTCTTTTAAAAACAAACTTAGTGGCCAGGCACGGTGGCTTACGCCTGTAATCTCAGCACTTTGGGAGGCCGAGGTGGGCGGATCATGAGGTCAGCAGATCGAGACCATCCCATCCTGGCTCACACAGTGAAACCCCGTCTCTACTAAAAATACAAAAAAAAAAAAAAAAAAAAAAACTAGCCGGGCGTGATGGCGGGCACCTGTAGTCCCAGCTACTCTGAAGGCTGAGGCAGGAGAATGGTGTGAACCAGGGAGGTGGAGCTTGCAGTGAGCCGAGATCCCACCACTGCACTCCAGCCTGGGCGACAGAGCGAGACTCAGTCAAAAAAAAACCAAAAAAAACCCAAAAACAACAACAAACTTAGTAAAGTATAAACATGAGGCAATTTTAAAAATTACATTAAGTAAATAGCATAGTTAGTATGCAACCAAAGTGGTATGGGAATGACAAAAATTAAGGATATATGATGTTAACTTATTTCATATTAACCTAAAAAACAGTAAGGCACACTGTTTCTATCATTTGCTACACTCTTGCTTCAAAGGGACTTGGATTTCTTAATTCCACACTTTTATCCCTTTGTGTATTCACCTGGAAAAGCTTCACAATTTTCATTTGGTTAAATCTTACTTATCTTTCAAAACCCCACCACTTCTGGTATGAAATAACTCCCTATTGATGAGTGAGGAGATTTAAGAACTACCACTCTAACCTTATATTAATTCCTTAATATTCGTTGCATGTATAAAGCATGGACATTTTCATATACTGTTTTTTAAATTTTTAATTATCTTTACATATAAATATCCAGCACATAAACTCACTGAGATAGAACAGTAAGTTTCGTTTTGCTTTGAACCGTCCTTGCATCCTCTGGCACCTGTTACACTATATGGAATATAGTAGGTGCTCAGTAAGTATTTGCTGTGTGACTCTCCACCTCACTGTTAATAAAGCCTCTTAGTTGCTCAACCTATAAAAAAAGGATCCTTTTTTCATTGAGCACATGTCATTGTACTCCATACCTTGTCAGCAGTTCCCCCTCTACTTTCCAGGAACTTATGATGTAATAGGGATAGGAATATACGATGGACAACTTCTAGTCATGATAAGGACTAGGGGACCAGGGTTGGGGAACAACTCAGTTGGCCTAAAGAGAGTCAGGGAAGGAAGCCTTCCTTCCCTTAAGGAAGCTTCAGGAAAGAGGAGTTATTTGAAGTTGACCTTGAAGCACATATAGAAGATTGCCTGGTGAAGGTGATGGTAAGGATGGCTAGGAGGTGGTGGAATGAGGAGGTTCATTTCAGGCAGAGAGAAATCAAAGTACAATGGTATAGGGTCATGGAAGGGTCAGGGCCGTTTTGACTTAAGTATTATAAACTTTTATTTATATGTAACTGAGAAATGGCAGCTGTATAGATTATATTATTGCTCTACAGTTATACTGATAAATTCAAATTTATGGTCTCGATTTTTGACTGGTAAAAATGAGAGCTAAGTCTAGTTTTTAACAGAACTGTTTTCTGTCTTTAGATACTTTCTGTTGAATAGGGAAATGGTTTAACAGCATTTGTAAAATTTTAATCATCTATTTTGTTTCCTTTTCTCTTTGAGCATTAGATCAAAAGCGGATCATTTTACTATGGTTGAGGTCAGTTTCATTTCTTTACTTCTGCAGAGTGACATAACATGCTGTGGTTTCAGTTTTGTTTCTCAGATGGAAAATATACTCTTTCTCCTCCTGAGTGTACATGCACACTTTTAAAATTCGCCATATTTTATTGAGAAGTTGGGAATAGATTACATAACATCATAGTCTTAACCAATCCAAACAACTTTTGATCAAATGCATAATTAACAGCTACTGTTAAAATCAATACTGACAGGACATAAAACAATCCTAGAGTAGAATCACCAGTGGGGGATCTCCCTTCTCTTGAGTAATTGATTTCGCAAACAATAGCAAATAATGAAAGCTCATAGGTACCTGGCATCTGGGAAAAGCAGCATTTTGAGAAAGCTGTTTCTAATGCTCTCTGGTTCAAGCTGCATTTTGAAGCAGTGTCAGTGTAAGAGATGAAGCGCTGGGAGTGTGAAAACAAAACAACCCGTAAGGTCCATCTCATTATCAAGATCTTTACCTCAGGGGACACCGCTGAGAGTCTTTAACGGAGTCACATTTTAAAACTGTACAAACAATGTAGAATTTAGAGAAGCGTACAAGGCCAGTGGTGGGACAATTTGCTCCAGATCATTTTGATCCTCCACTCAGAACTAGCCTGACAAGTCAGAAAGCAGAGGTCTCTCTAGACAATTTTTAGCACATGGCTGGCCTCTTTGATTGGAGGCTAAAGTGACTGATGATATAGACCCAAATATCATCTCTAATGATGATATTTGGGCTCTAAACCTATAATAGATCTGGGACAGCTGTGTAATCCTCTAGTCACCCTGTCAATGTCATTTATTTCCCCTATGGAGAAACCCCACAGATGTACTATCATCTGTGCATATCTGGCTAACACCATGTTGCCTGGGGGCAGCAAGGGCAGCTCTGGGAAGAAATGCAGCTCAGCTTTAAAAGAAACTTCATGGTTGGGCACTGTGACTCATTCCTGTAATGCTAACACTTTGTGAGGCAGAGGCGGGTGGATTGCTTGAGTCCAGGAGTTCCAGACCAGCCTGGGCCACATGGTGAGACCCCATCTCTACAAAAAGTACAAAAAGTAGCTGGGCATGGTGGTGCACACCTATAGTCCTAGCTACTCAGGAGGCTGAGGTGCAAGCATCCCTTGGGCCCAGGAGGTTGAAGCTGCAGTGGGCTGTGACTGATTCCACCATTGCACTCCAGCTTGAGTGACAGAGAGAATCCCCATCTCTGATAAAATAAAGAAACTTCATTATACTTGGGATAAAAACTGATGTGTGAGATGAAATATTTGCAAGAAATCTGGAATATATTGAAACTCGGGAGAGAGAGGCCATGGGATCAGTCTTCTCTGCAGGCCGATGCTGGCCCCTCCTCAGTGCTCCTTTTCTGCCCTCACATGGTTGTGTTTTGTTGTGATCCACCGTACCACTGGCTGCCAGAGAAGCTGCAACAATATTTAGCAATGTTTTAGAGAGGAGAGGGGCTAAAATGCATGACTCTAATGTCTTTAAGATTAAAAAGAACTCTTGGAGGCTTTGGTTTTCAAGATCATGATGAAATGAGTACCTGTAATGGTGATTACAGTAGAGAGAATCGGATGTTCTCTAGCATGAACCTTCCTGAAGACAGGTTGGCCTAGCAAAAGGACAGGCAGAAAAATCAGCAGAATGGATTGCATTGATTTGCTATCAGAGCTCTGTGGAATTAGTAAGCTAAACATTAAAACCAGATGCACACATCACAAGCAATGTTAGTTTGGGGATTAAATGGTCATAGGTCACCCCTAGGTAGGTCACAGAAGGGAGTTCTGGTGGAGGTTACTGATGGAGATCATTGCTCAGAGATGAGCGAGTATTTCATGAGCCAAACCAAACTATGTTAACAAACCACAAGCCCCATGATAGTGAGTACAGCCAGATTCCTACAGGTATCTTAAATGTTATACCAAGGTCCTTCAAGGTACCGCTTCCGGAAGCATCATGGAACATCAGAAGGTATAGTGGCAGGTATCTTGGTTGTGAAGCCAATTACTGCCAACAATATAGCCTTGAGTAGGCCATTTCTCCAGTTTCTCCCCATGTAAAATGGTGGTAATAGTACCTGCTCTATGTTACAGGTTTGTTTGAGGGTCAAGTAATACAACACCTGGGGATATGCTTACTACATTTATTTCCTGAGCAGTCTGAAGGGGAGAATGTTATGTACACCTTCAGGTTTTGCAAAGGTAGGCCATCATCACAGCAACTGTTTGGATAACCTAGGGTTAACCTAGGCCTACGGGGTTCTCATTGAACTCCTGGTTCAGCTGACTTCCAGATTCACTTGCTATTTGCCTCTACCAAGAGCTACCCATAACTGACCTGGGAATCATGAGATTCGGGATTCAGTGCCACCCCTGCCATATGCTTGTCATCTAAACTTGGGCAAGGCCTTTCTCCTCTCTCTCAGGCTTCTCAATTATAAAGTGAAGCTGAATTTGAAGGGGCTTTGTTCCTCCAGCCTACATACTGAAGTGATGAAAACATTTTCAACTGTCAGAATTTTCATAGTTTGGCTTCCTTAAAAAGGCTTGTGTCTTATTAAGTCTATTATGTGCTGAGCATAATATGATTAGAGGAGTAATATTAAATAGGTATACCAACTGATACATAATTTTAATTAGAGAACTCTATAGTTGTATATCTTAGAAGTTTTGGGGGATCAAACATACATTCTTCTCTCCATATTGAGCCAGAATACTTAATTTATTTAACTATTCATGTTTATATCGTCCAGTTTCCCCCTTCTGGGGTACTTCTCATTTTTCATTCAACTGGAATACATAATGATGGAATTTATTAGATATATGTGGGTTTTGAGTAGAAAAGGGGTTCAATGTATAATTTCAAGATGCAGGTAGAAATAAGCTAGAGGGGAAGAAACAGGACAGTGCTAATATTTAGAGTGTTATCTTGTCATATGACTGGAAGACCAAGGGGGAATGAGATCATAGGCCCAAACAAGGGCCTTTCAATGAGGCAAGGTCTGGAAACAATAGGTAAAGATCTGCAGATTCTAAAAGCACCTCCAACACTTAATGTCCACCACTAATGAGATCTCTGAAATATTGGTATTAGGTTGTGGATCAGATGACTTTTTCAATTTCCATATATCCTGCTTCAAATTTAGATTTTCACACTCAGCTGCACAAGCCCATGGAAAAGCTGCAGGCAAACTCCCAGGGCTAGATTAATTCTTCTTACTGCCCCTGAAGTCAAAGCCTTGACTTCAAAGCCTCCAACTGACTTCAAAGAAAAGTTCTTTAGGGCTTAAAGCTGCTTTTCGCTGTAGACCTAAGTTTTAGAACTGTCCTCAGGGGCATCAGTAGAGAGTGGATTCTAAGCATTCTGGTTTGATTTAGGAAAATAAGGGTCATGTAAAGTGAGATAGTTTCTTAGAAAGTAGGAATGGACAGGCCAGTGTAGAAATTCCCAGAGTTTTTGAACATTCTCTTGTTCTAACTGCATTAATTTCAAGTCTTGGGAAGAGGTGATGGCAATAGGAAACTGCCATTTCAGATTAAAGTTTCAGCCATAGGAAGAACTTAATGAACTACATGAAATGATAAGAAACTTCTGGAGGGGGTGACTCTGTCATCTTGCATGCCAGATGTGGCCAAGTCAGGAAAAGTTGGACATTACCAGAGATATTACAGAATTTGATGCAAAGAAGTTCTGAGAAACGAAAACTAGGATCCCACTACCTGAGATCCTAGAAGAGAGGATGGTTCAAATGACATAGAACGAAGGCCCTTAAAACAAAATTTGGACCAGACGCAGTGGCTCAAGCCTGTAATCCCAGCACTTTGGGAGGCTGAGGCAGGCGGATCACAAGGTCAGGAGATTGAGACTATCCTGGCCAACATGGTGAAACCCGTCTCTAGTAAAAACACAAAAATTAGGTAGGTGTGGTGGCATGCACATGTAGTCCCAGACACTTGGGAGGCTGAGGTAGGAGAATTGCTTGAACCCTGGAGGTAGAGGTTGCAGTGAGCCAAGATCACGCCACTGTACTCCAGCCTGGTGACAGAGCGAGACTCCATCTCTCTCTCAAAAAAAAAAAAAAAAAAAAAAAAAAAAAAATCCTGACATATTCAATAGTAAAGAAAACAGAAACATATTCAAACACGTCAATATGTTTTAACAGAGCATCTTAGTAGCCACAGGTTTTTAGTTGAGGTCTCTTTATCAGATTTCACAGGATGGAAGGTGCTGTTGGATGGTATACTATTTCTAAAATGGTAGACTTAAAAACATTATTACTTCAATTCAGTCATGAAAACTGGCTTGCCAAATTTCTACCTTCTTCAGATCTCCCAAGGCATAACTAATTTATCCTTGGGTGACAGAATTAGAGTATTTACAAGGGGACCTCAAGCAGTTAAAATGAAGGAATGAGAAAAAGGAGATAAAAGTTTTTTAAAAAATGGAGTATGAATTCCTGTACTTGATTTAAAAAAAAAACTTTTAGTAGTGCAGATTTGGGGAGATCTGACCCAAAAGAGCTTCAAATGAATCAGATTTAAGAAATCCAACACAAAGACTTGTCCTGTTTAACATTTTTATCCCTTTCAACTTCTGTCTCTCTGAGAGTCTATGAATCATTTTGTCATTAAATACCACGTCTGGAGAGAAGCAGTGGAGAGCAACAGCCCATGTGAAACTGCCCACATTTAGAAAATTCTACTTTGGACAGAATCAGATTGGAACTGCTTGTTCATGAGTTTACACTAACAGTGGATTAAGTTCATCCCAATTCCCGACGTAGTATTTTCATGATCAGAAATTTGAAGTATGTTTCCTTCTAAATATTTTTGTTCAGATCTCTGATTTCAAAATTTTGATATCTGCACAATATATTGGAAAAATTTGATATTGGCACAGTACATTGGAATATGTCACATACTGATACAGAACGTAGGCCATTAAAGACATCTTCAGCCTACAGCTTCAGACAAATCAGACCTACTGTTTAAATATTTCTCTCTCTCTCTCTCTAAATGTGCACAGATGACTAAAAGGGTGAGAAGATATTTAGAGACAACAGAGGGTGCTATAAGGAAATATCTTTGTTTTGTACACAAGAACATAGTTTTGGAGTTGTACTAAATAATGCAATCAACACAGGCTGAGTACCATTCTAAATTTAAGTGTTTGAAACTTTTTTTCATTTCTGATTGAGTTTTTATAGACATTTTGAGTTTTTATAGAATACTTTGTAATATACTTCAAGTGGCAGAAATATTACTCGTTACCATGTTACTAATACTAAAACCTAAGTCCCCAGAGGGACCCTCAGATTGGTGTGGTGGGATGAGGGGAATGCTCTGCTCAACATATTATATGATGTATTATAAATTATGCATTTACATACATAATTTATGAATGAAAATTTATGTGTTAAAATGATGTATTTTTACGTATTTCCTCAGCATGAATTTTTATGTATTTCCTCAACATGGCATTTATGTGTTATTAGCATCCTGAGCTTGGACCCTGGATCTATCTTGGATGTCAGCTCCTATGTTTCTCTGAGGCTAGCAATTGTGCCATCTTTATTCTGGTGCTCTTAGGAGCCTCTATCAGGGAACCGTAGCTTATCAGCACTATGTGAACATGTGTAAATTGATCAGTGTCAAAATATGAACAGTTACAGTTTCTCCATATGAAATGCTTATAAACACAACACACACACGTTATTAATTTGTAAAATGTTAAATGTGTAAAACCAGCAAGAGCACACCATGTGCCACAGTTAAATATTAATGCAAGTTACGTAAGGTGTGGGTTTGGATTGATGGTTTAAGGGTATTTGGGGAAAAATAAGGAACATTAGAAAAATAGTCTTACCATACAGGTATTTTCCTTCATTAAAAGCAAATAAAAATGAGAAATGTTTTAAAATGTAATAACATCTGGTGAGAACAGACAGTAAAAGTTAGATAGCATTAGACTTGAAAAATTCATACCTGTTATTGTGAAGCCACCTAAAAAGGAAAAAAAACAACAACAAATGTTATAATTTAACTTACATTCTGCAAAACAAATACCAGTGACATCAGACTGCCTGACAACCCACCCAAGGTACTTGCCAAATTATATTTACAATTAAGAAGACTAGGAAAACATTCATGACTGAATCACTAATCATTCTTTTAAGATTATGAGATTTAATGCACAAATTTAATTCTTGTGCATACCTAAGAAATCACTGATTTTTTAAAAGGTTGTACTAAATTAAAAATGCAATACAAACTATTTGACCTTGACAAAGTGAGGTCAATGGCCCTAAACAACAATCTTGTTAGCAAGTCAAGAGAAGTAAAAGTCACAGAGCTACTATATCACCTGGCGGAAATGGAAAATAATCTAGAAAAATGGAAAGGAAATGCAAGAAATGAAATGCTTACCAAGCTCATTCAATAACAGGGCTGTGAAGGAAATAGACAAAGACAAACACAGAATAAGAGACCAGATGAATAATGAAAGTAAGAGGAATATCAGCAGAAAGAAATCCAGGCAGATCTGATTACAGTGGTAGGGAGCCACTGCTAAAAATGGGTATACCCCAAAGAAATATAGTGTTGGGAATATTTCTGAATAAACAATCCCAACTGAAATTTCTGAAAATGTGTGTGATTGAATACACATGTATATATGTGTGTGTGTGTATATATATATATATTTCACTTTATAATTTCTTTACATTTCATAAGACATTTCTAGTATATATGTTTATACCTAGAATATAAATCTAGTTTACCAAATACAGTAGAAACATTGTATGAAATTCATTCTTAACTTGATATGAGTGAGGCTTCCTCATTAAATATTGCCTGGGATTTGGTGAATCCAACGTATGGAAGCCTTAAATCATCCAGGATCTCGGGTATCACAACTTTTATTCAGTAAGTATAGGTGGAACATCCTGGGAAATTCCATTTTAGGTTCCCTGCCTGGAACGGTAGTTTAGCCCAAGGTAAAGCACTATCTTGGGATGCTCTATTTGGATGATACTTTGTCCACCAAGAATTGGTTATGTATTAAAATCCTTAAAGCTTAATGGTCCCAGGAATTAACACCTATGTGTGTCCTTATCTGTGACTTCTGTAAATTATTAGATAACCAGAATCCTTCTAGTGGACATATAATCCCAGGAAACTGACAAGGCATTGGGTGGGTGGGGGGAGGGGGATATATAATTTGTCTTTCAGGTTACGTGCTTTAAACCCAGAATGTACTGTAGCACTTTATTTTAGTAAAAGCAATCTTGCTAAATATATCAAATTATTTCCTGAGTTGAACATGGGAATGTTACAATTACTTTTTTGGGCCCAGTTTTCTCTCTAATGATAGTGGCATTAGAGGATACTTTCTAAAAAAAGTCAGTTATTTATAGTGACAATCCACTTGGAGGGTGTGAAACTGGATAGTGCTACTAAGGAATTTTAATTTGCTGTTACATGAGGGCATATTTTACTAAAATGGCAATTGAAAGAGCAGAATCCAATGATGCTCCTCCTTGTGATAAAGTTCTTTGGTGGAATACATTAGAAGAAAGTGCTTTCTCCTGTATGTTAAGGAGGCATTTTGGATCCCATCTTTGTAAGAAATCAGCTCAATTTTCTGGTCTCTTTTTCTTCCATCTACCATCTATGGAGCAGATTAAATAGGCTGCATTAAAACGGGTCTTGAGTGCTCCTTTTCCCATCACTCCAAAGACTCCTGTCGCCATCTTGAACTTGATTAACACAGAAACATACGTGTTTTTTCCCCACCAATGGACTCTGAGGCCACGAATGTGGGATACATTTTCCTATATGTCTACATAGCAATTAGTCCTATATATTTTATTTTTCCCTCTACATGTAAAAGCATATATTTCTTACAAAGTGGCCCATCTCATCATATCATACTGTCCTCACCAATTGTTTGTATGCAATTAATAAGAGCTATTAATATGTGGTCTGTTCATTTTACACAAGTAAATCACCAGAATTCCTTTTAAAATGGCCACTATTAGAGGATAATTTTATGAAGCCCTATTAACAATTGAGAATAAGAAATCCTCTGTAAAACTGATACAAGATTGCTGTCTTTCCTATGAAATATAGGCCATATGTTAATAATCAGTAAAATCTAGTTATAAAGGACACTTTTTTTTCCTATTATATATGTTAATAATTTATTCTATAAGTATCAAGAGATTTTGGAGCATAAGGCTAGGTAGGCCTTCAGCAAGGATTAAATTCTTACTGAAGGGCCTTATTCTTCTGATCAAAGAAAATTGACATGACTGTGGTTTCATAGATATGGTGCCTTTTAAATGTCGTATTTGATGATACAAAAATATGCTAAAATGAGCACTAGAATATTGAAAACACTACTCTTTAAGGATCTTTGTTCTTAATATTTTTAAACTGTGTTCTCTAAAGAAGCCTGATGATTGAATTCTGAAGTTTCCTGTTAGTTGCCATTAGGGTCATCTACTAATACTAATAAGTATTAAGTAGTTTCTTTTTTCCAGCTTTATTGAGGTATGATTAACAAGGTATTAAGCAGTCTTTATCACTAAAATTTTAGGGGAGATTTAATAATTGGAGTGACATATTAGAATAAACCGTGAGTAGTGAAAAACTAAACACATTCTTTTATATAATCATTTCTGAATTACAGAAATCCCTTTCAGTGTTATTAAATCTGGTTACAATCAAGGTTAGCTGGCATTTCCTGAAGAGAGTGGGCGTTGCCTGTTGCACTTGTGAATTAGGGAAGGGAAATGAAACTGCTAAAGCTTCAAAGGCAATGAAGTATAGTACTTGGAAGCCGAGGAAGAGGAGAGAGTTAAGTGTGAGAGTAGGGAGACACGGAGAGAGAAGAGTACAATTTCTCGCTGGTATGTCTTTGTTTACTCTCACACCTTTCATTCCTCTTCTTATCCATTTTGGTTCCTCAAGCACAAGGGAGAAACTGCACTCTTTCTCATATTCCTCACGGTCAAATATTCTAATGGTAATGATCTTCCTGTGGGAACACAAGACAAAGGCAAAACAAATGGTTGGAGTCACACGCTCATGCTCTTGGTGTCCACCAAGCTGAATGTTACTGTGATGTTATGGAGGGAGAACTGGCAGCACATGGGCCTCCTGAAGTATGTAAAAGGGCATCTTGGGTACTCTTGGCTGGCCCCCATTAAGTTTTCTTTGCTAATTTATCACTTTCATGAATTATTCCTGCTTCAGTTAGTAGTCAGTAGGTACCCCAAAATAGGAAGATAAATCAGAACGTTGCCTTCCTTTTGGCATTGCATGGCATCTGCAGCCACTTTCCCAGAAATGGACACTTGATTGACTGCCCTGAAAATTAATCTCTCAGACGTTAATGTGCAGCACAACCAATGCTGGCTGATGTAGCTACAGGCCCGCCCACTGTGGCTCAGCATGAGATCTGTGCCCTGTTACATAGGTGGAGGGATGTGTGCATTGTAAGTCATGTTCTGAAGAGTGTAGGCATCCAGGGGTGGCACAGGCCAGCAGAAGCTGTTGGGCTCAGCCCTGGAGCAGCTCCCCCACCTTTCTTCTCACTCATCTCCACCAGGCGGGGCTCTCCAATCTCAAGGAAGAAGGTCTTGTTTTTCTCATATTCCTCATCATCAATTACCTTGACTGATATTGTTTTGCTGAAACAGAGAATAGAAATTGACGAACAAGGGGAAGAGGAAAGAAAAGAGAAGGAACATAGAAAAGAGGAAAGCAAGGTTAACCAGTTGCACTTTCAGACAAACAGTAATCGAGAAACTTCTGTACTGTGAGTTTTTTCTTCAAGAATGGATATCAGATAGGTATGAAAGGTCAGAGATTTCACCCAATGCATAGCTCCCCTGCCCAGGGCCACAGAATTATTTTAGGCAACATATAGCATTCAGTACTAATAGGTTTGTCATCATCATAAGGAGGAAAAGCAGAAAAACACAGATCACAATAAAAAGAAAAGAAAAACACATTAATTTAGTAAATACCTTAACCAGTGGATTGTCTAAGCTGTGCCCTGGAACTTGCTCCTTTAGAACAAGTCAAAAAATCTCATCAAGATATTAATAGAGTTATCTCTGGGCAATAGGCTTACAGGTCATTTTTTTCCTTCGTTGTGCTTTATTATAGTTCCAAATATAATATTTTTATCATAAATTGTTAATAAATGAATAAAAATATCACAAAGAAAATACAGTCAAATTATCTCACCCCCACCCAATGTCTTAGAATCAAACTCTTATTCAGGTTAGTCAGATTCTCCAGCTAGACCACAGCAGGAAGACAAACATGTTTTGTTTGTCTTTCTAAAGATGGAAGCTGTGGCCTCACAACAGCTGTTTTGAAAGTGGGGTGGCAGCAGGTGGGTGTCATGATTTGTAGTTATTTTCATTCTTCCAAAGTTGAGTTTTGACTTTCTATGAAACATGCCATTTACACTACTTTCAAACGTCACCAATACACCAAGGTGTTTTGATGAGAATTCTTCCTGTAATCCAGCCTTTAACAGTTCTTGCCTTATGGTCCTATGGCTATGAGTGACTGACAGGCAGGGAGGACAAATGCAAATATGCAAATCTCAGGTTTCCATAAGCATTCTTGATTACTCTGAAAATAAACCAACCTAAAGTTACCTTTTAATTAATAAGGGCTTAAACACTTTATATACTACAACTTATTAGAAACCTCTTAAACACTGATTTGTCTTGAAAAAATGTTTCCAATAACATTGGCCAAGAACAATTCTGATCAACGTTTTTGAAACAATGAGTGTTTGTAGACACAGATTTTTAACAGCATGGTCATTAAGCTTTTTTTAGGTCTTCTGGAAGGAAATTGGTTTATAATCTTGTTTTTATTTTATTTATCCAAGTCATTAAGTTTTCATTCGATCTATGCCTACTAAAGAATATCAGTCTTCTTTCCTAGTTACTTTTAATTCTCTGAATTTCCCAGTCCCTAATGCCAAATGCTTAAGTCTTGCTTTTTGGCTTAGCATTGTAGACCTGAGACCAGATTATTGGTTCTGGTACCCTGAAACCCAATAACGTACTCTCTGTTCCTCAGCTAGAGAACACCCTTGAATGATACTCACATTCCAACGTCTCACTCCTAAAAAGCTGCAGCTCATGAAACTCCTTTCCTTTCTCATATCTGTCCTCAAATACTGACACTAGATGAACAGCTATAAGTGAGTAAAGCCACAATCATTTTTTAAAGAGTGGTTAGGTATTTACAAAACTACCAACAGTATGATAATGTCCAGTTACATGTATACTATAAACAGCTCTATCCTAACTTTTAGAATTATTTTTTAAAATCACCTATTTAGTATAAAAAAATTAGCCCACTGTGACTAAACTAGAATATTTAATTTTTCCCTAAATTCCAAAAACTATAAAATATTAGAGAAGGCACAGGAGGATGGATATAAGGAATGATGATTATTTGATCATTAGAACTGAATTTGATGTTGCAAAATAGATCAAATTTACCCCACACAAAACTGCCATATGTCTATCCTCTTTGTCAACAAAACGTATGCATTTTGGGTATTCATTTCCATCTCGTAGTCTTGCAATCTTAAACTTTAGTTGTACATTTCTACAAAAACAGCATGGTGAGAGCAAAGGTAGGAAAGTGTTGATGGACAATAAAAGGGCCATGCTACTGTTCTCTGGACTTGATGGCCCAACATCCATTATCAAGATGCTTCATTGTAGGGTACATCAAACTGAAATCCCTCATTGTGAGAGTCATGTTGCAATATTCTTGTTAGCATTACTTAAAAACATCTGATGTTACATTTCTCCATCTTGTATTTGCAACCCACCCTGCATCTCATCACATATTTAATTGGATTATAGAAATAAAGCACAGTGGGGATGGTAGAAGTAGCCTTGCTAATAAGGTGAATGTTTGTGTAGAAAAGGTACCTGTTTCATGTTCACAAATCAACTTATTCACAAATAAATCAAACAACATATTATTGCTAATCCTTGGTGAATATCATAAATATTTAAATCCTCTAATGCCTTTTTTTTCTTTCCTTTCTTTCTTTCTATTTTTGAGATGGAGTCTTGCTTTTGTTCCCCTGGCTGGAGTGCAATGGTGTGATCTCGGCTTATTGCAATCTCCGCCTCCCAGGTTCAAGCGATTCCCCTGCCTCAGCCTCCTGAGTAGCTGGGATTACAGATGCCCACCACCATGCCCAGCTAATTTTTGTATTTTTAGTAGAGGCAGGGTTTCACTATGTTGGCCAGGCTGGTCTGGAACTCCTGACCTCAGGCGATCCACCCGCCTCGGCCTCCCAAAGTGCTGGGATTACAGGGGTGAGCCACCACACCCGGTCTATTTTCTATATTCTGAGTAGCTGATAAATGGGGGAAATACAGTTATATAGCTCCACACAATTTGTCTGCATATAAAATAAGCATTTATGATTTATCACTAGCATATCCCTATTCATAGGATCACAATTCTTAGAAAATTTTGAAGTACTTGATAACTATGACACTGAAAAAATCAAGGATGAAGAAAAAGAAAAAAGTACTTTTGTAGGTGCCTGGCAAATACATCTAAAATAGATGGAATTTGCATAATGGCATATCATTTCAAAATCATTAGTAATAGAATCAATAATGCTTCTGACAGGAAGAGCCACTAAATTATATATTGATTTCACTCCTCTTGCACAGTGAAGCTATTAATAGGAAACTTGATTATTAAAGGACATTTCAGTGGATCTAAAGTGGCAGGATGAAGTCAGTCCTTATGAATTAGCCCTTTAAATCAACAGAGGCAAAAATCAGAAGGGCACTGGTAATGTTCACCTTTTGCTTCAGAACAGAACAATTTCTCCCCTTAGCAAATGTAGTAGAGGTGAAATAAACCAATATAATTTTTAAAGGAACACATCCTTGGGATGTCTCCTTCTCACTTTCCAGAGCCTAATGCATGAAAGATATTGCCACCACTTCTTCCTTCACAGGGGATAGTATGTGAGATGGGGTTGGTTTGGTGAAGATGTCAGTTATTCTGGCTTGATAATCAGCAGAAGCATGTTCCTCACAGTTCTGCAGTAGAAAGAATCTCAAGGACTGACAGAACCTTGAATGTCCTCCAGTTGGCCCCATTGCCACACCAATACCATGTCCACAGGACTTTTGCATTGTCACAAGGACTCCAGCTCCCTGAAAACACACATCCATTTTGGCTGTTCTGTTCTGTTTACCAACAGGGAACATAGTTGTTGCTACTTCTTTTCTTTAAATTGACAGGTAAACAAAAACAAGACTGGAACTGTTGGGTAGACACAGCCCTTCATCCAAATATAATTCTTGCATTTTTACTGCACTGATAAAGAACAAATAGAAAAACTGGTATCACACAACTTCCAACTATTATAATTATTATAAAGACAGGAAAACTCACTTCTTTTTTACAACTTTTCAAATTTGAGCAGTATACTATAAAAACTGTAGTTTCTGGAAACTAGCAAAGCAGTTACAAATCTTACGATAGCATTAAAATATTTCTTAATATTGCCAAAATTTTTATGGAAGTACATTTTGGTTCTATTTCTAAAAAAAAGAAGAAAGATCAATTTATTTAGTGGAAAAATACTGATCATTCCTTTTGAAGTTTGCAGTGCCTTTTATTTGATGATACCAAACCAACATCTATACTTTACTTCCCAGTCTCTATCTCTCTCTTATCTTATGTGTCTCAAAGGACCCGAACACCTTCAAACAGACTACCAAGGAGTTCTTATATCTGGTTTTGACTCAGGCAGGCAGACAGAAAAGAAAGACGTGGCTTTATTAATGAGGGTTGAAGAAGAAAGTCTCTTCGAAATATATTTTAGTTTCTCATTGTTAACCCAAAGTGGTACCACAGTCTCTTTTTCAACTTAAGCCTCAATTTGTCCTTCTGTGGTTTCTTTTCTTTAAGACTGCCCTTGATGTTGGGAGAAGATGAGGAAAGGATGAACTGGAGGATTAAAGAGAAGAGACTCCTCCATTTTAGATCCTTAAACAAAAGATTTTAGTGAGGATTTCACATATTTAGATGCTTACGGTTGCTTTTTGTCTTTTAAGATTTACCCTCTCCTTAGACATACTCAGAGGCCAGTGGAATGATAGGCTCTTTGCATTTCTTAATTCACAGATCTTCATAACAGCCCAAGAAGTAATTCTTACTACCTGAGACTGACAGGGAAAACGACGACTCTCAGAGACCTTGGTAATATCCAAGGTCACAAAGTGAGTTCCTGTGACTGGCTTCAGGAACTGAAACCTTTAAATTATATGACTCAAAATCAACCAGTAGGTCCCTTATTCATTCAACTGTGCAGTATTTTTATGGCCACTTTAAAGGATCTAGATCATTACTTTAATATCAAGTTTTATTGTTTCATCTTTAACAAAGAATGACTGTATGAAAATAATAGAATCTCAATTCTGTTTTTAAAAGGACTGCAGGACATGTTATATTCCATGATGGCTGCTTTAAAAAGTTAAATCATTGAGGAGATAAAGGTTTAATTAAAAAGAGCCGTGAGCATGCAATGGTTCACCAACTCTGAGAACTCTGAATAGTCAACCAGCAGTTTCAGTGTCAGCTTCACCTAAAGTGCGGGACTTGTTAG